CTCTTCCTTGACCTTTAAAAACCAGAAAAACGAAGGGTGATGGTTCAAGACATAAGCCTGCTATAAATTCTCCCTCGAAAAGCCACAGCAAGACTTTCCAAAGCAGTCCTAGGAAATTAAAGAGATTGTTTTGCTTTTCTTTTTACATTTGCTGCCTCTATAAAATGTTAATTGAGAAATGTGCTTAACATAAATGTCAAGGACCCCTAAAAAAAGGAATTTTTTAAAAAGGATAGTGGGGAGGAGATGTTTAACAAAAGGTCCCTATGGAGCATGCCTGGTTCAGGGGGGAGAGAGGGCGGCTCAGCACGCAGCCCACCCCGCAGACCTGGGCCTGAGACGGGTGCCTGGGAAGCCCGTGGGGCTCTGGGTTGACATCTCTGCGCACCGTTCAGAGCTGCCTCTCAGCCCAGCCGCGCCACTGTCCTCACCACCATCCACTGCTCAGGTGGCTTTCATGGAGCACGGCCTTGCAGGGGTTTAGACAGATCCTCAGAACAAGTCCAGGAGTGGTGAGTCCCTCATCTCTCCACCTGTTCGACATCAACTGGTACAAAGGCAGGTGAGCATGAGCTACCTTATCTACACTTCCTACTGCATATTTCAATCCGCCAACCAGAAACAAACAAAAATAAACCTTCCTTACGTGAAGCCCCTATTGTAGCTTAACTGGCAATAGAACTGTGCAGAGAAGCTGACCCAGGGTGTCCAGGGGCCCTTACCACTGGCCCTCACACAGAGACCTTCCCCAAGGCTGAGGAGTCCCTAGGGAGCACGCAGGTCAGCTGGTCACCTGGATCCACATGCCTGTTGAATCAGCCCTAGATCTGCTTTAGATCAGGATCCACCATACCTGTCAGAACAGCTGGTCATCTGGATCCATCTGGATCCATAATGTTTATTGGATCAGCTCTAGATCAGCTGGTCATCTGGATCCATCATGCTTACTGGATCAGCTCTAGATCAGCTGGTCATCTGGATCCATCTGGATCCATCATGTTTATTGGATCAGCTCTAGATCAGCTGGTCATCTGGATTTACCATGCCTGTCACTTCAACTGTGGGGTATGGTGCAGAGCATTTGCTATTCATAATAATACAGTACAAGGCTTTGTGCACTATTTGCTTTTCCTTAATTGATTGTCAGGTTTTATTTGCCTTCTTATAATAGATTCCTCTCCTTCTCTATTACTCAGAGTAAATAATGCCGTTGCTGGAACCTACAACCTGAAAAATCAGTGACTTATAATCCCACGCAATCATCAGCAGGTGGGGAACTCACAGCCCCGGCCCCTCTGTGTGGAGGCCCATTCCCGAGGTCTCAGGTGGTGGCTTCTACATGGGCCTCTATTCTTTTCTCAGGGGTCCTGAACATTTATGTTAAGCCTATTTCCTTGCATCCAGCCTGGGCGAGGGAAGAGAGAAGTGAGGGCTTGAGGGGAGGGGGGAGGAAACCGAGAGAGGAAGGGGTGCACTTAGCACTTAGTGTATAGCACCATCATCAGAAAGGATGTTTGTCCATGTGACGTGTTTCCTGTGCCTTATGGGCTGAATGCTTGTGTCCCCCAAATCCATGTTGAAGCCCAAGAGTGGCTGTATGTGGAGATGAGCCTCTAAGGAAGTGACTAAGTTAGATCGATCATGAGGGTGCAGCCCATAGGAGGAGGCTCCAGAGCTGGGCGGCTCTCTCCACTCACCCTGACCAGGGGGCCATGGAGCTCACAGTCAGATGAAGAGGCCCCCGGGTGAGGCCATGGCCTGGACCTCTAGGCCCCAAAGCTGTGAGAAATAAATGTCTGTAAACCAGCCAGTCTCTGGTGCTTTGCTATGGCATCTGAGCAGATCAACAGTGTTAGTATCAGAAAAAATAACCTGTTTTCCCCTGGAATGTTTCCCCTTTCACCAGCCTGCGTGTCCCGGGGCCATCCTTGAGAAACTGCAGCAGTGGCTTCCTTGTCCGGAGGAAACGGGGACTGCTGGCCCCTGAGGCTATTTTGCATCTAAGTGAGGAGGGTGCTCTCTGGGTTTCCACATGAAAGGGGGCTTTTGTGTGCTTTCTATTATTACTTAGTGGTTTGGAGCATCCTGCTCTGAGGGGCCTACGGGCAGACACAAAGTGACAAGCTGCTCCTATTGGCAGTCTCATCACTTCTGGAACATTCAGAAGTCTCCTTTTACACAGAAGGAAAAGGACACTTGAAGGCACCTTGAGAGCAGTTTCTTGTTCCCACAGCACATGGGGGTGGGGGGGGGCGGGGGGCGATGAGGGGGGGGGAGTCCAGCACTTTGAGGCGATGGAAGACACAAAGGACACCAGCTCTGCCCCTGAGGCGCCTAAATCTCAGGGAGGCGAGGTGAACCCACAGGAAGCCGCTAGAACTGACTCTGGATGTGGTGGCTGCCCCACCAGGGAAGGAGCCCTGTCATTTGGGCCCCTGTGTTCATGCCAGCAGGATAGTGGCGGATGACCCCAGTCAGCGGTGTGCCACAGAGCCCGCCAGGGAGGAGACATCGCTCAGCCTGTGGCCTGAGAAACACTCAGCTGTGGAAGGAAGCCCGTGAGTCCCGCTTTCCTTTCAAGGTCATCTCAGATGTCAGCATCCATGAGGCCTTTCTGGATGGTGCCCTCGGGCCCCACCCCGGCAAGGACCCTCTTCCCCACGGTGCGGCTGCAAGGGTGTGGGTGCTGGGTCTTGCTACCGGTCCTTTGAGAACAGAGCTCAGAGGCCCTGCTCCAAATGCAGGCCACCTGGCTCTCAGATCCTGGGCTCCCTGGCTACTCCAGCCCCACCTTGGTCAGAGGTCCCCCTCCCCCCTCCACACTGGCCTCCCAACTGAAGGACGACTTACTGTTTGGTCAGGGCCCATCGTTACAACAGGGAGGATAAGACCAACCCCTCGTGCTGAGGGCTCAAAGGGCACCGTGACCCCTCCCACCCATGTCCACACCTGGTGCGCATTCAAGCAGTGGCAGCGACTATGACCACTGATGTCATGCCCAGTGACAGTGTCCTGAGAAGAAACAGCACAGTAAAGACAGAGACAGAAGCCACGTGAAGGTGGAGGCAGAGAAGGGAGGGATGCAGCCACAAGTCAAAGGATTGCTGGAGCCCCCAGAGGCTGGAAGAAGCAGGAAGGACCCTCCCCTAGAGCTCCAGCTCCACAGTTTGTGGTCATTTGTCCCAGCAGCCCCAGGACACTCACACACAGGTGCCAGGGACATGTGCAGCCCTGTACGGACCCCAGTTTCCAGGTCACAAAGGGACAGGACAGCCTCCAGGGTTTATCTCTAAAACTCTATGACTCTGTGACTCTCACCCCAAGGTGAGGCATCTCTCCAAGCAGCCTGGGTTCCCTCAGAGCTGAGCCAGGGAGAACCCCCAGGACACACATCCCACGCACAGCAGGCCCACAGTCGGCCCCCATCTCCAGCCAGCCATGCCAGGAGCTCACAGCCCAAAGGGAAGCCAAATTTGCATGGCATGTGTCACCTACGGGTTTCCGGAGCAGCCACAACAGCGCAGGGCAAGGCCCCAAGCCCCACAGGTACTGGGAAGAGGGGCGCTGGCCCAACTCCCCTGCTCTCTATCTGAGAAGCAAGAGCTAAGAAGCCTCTAGCTGTTTCCATGGCAGGTTTCTGGTTTCCAGGAGGCAGGCCTATTTTCACACGAACATGGGGTTTTTTTTAACTATTTATCCTTCGTAATGTACTTACCTGAGACCTGTTCTTATCTGGAACGAAATAGCCAAACATACCTGGTGAGACGGTGAAAACCCACACCAACAAAAAATGACCTGTTTGCCCACCTTCTGGAGAAGTGGTTATTGTGATTTGGCTGCGTGTGATTTGGCGGCAGTGACGGGGAAATAATAGTGATGATGGGACAGTAATAATAATGACAGAAGAAGAAGAATAGCCGGCTTTGTTTCTGAGCGCTCCCTGCCAGAGGCCCCGTGCTAAGCGTTTAAGAGCCATCCACCCACTTAATCCTAACAAAAGCACCGCCAGATGGAAATTAAGGGGATTACCTTACAAATTAGAAGACCAGGCGCAAGCTGATTCACACCAGGTTTCTCTGAGTCCAAGGCCTATGAAGGTCACTGCCACCCAGCTGCCTCCCACAAAAAGTAGCCATGGGCCATGTGCAGGAGAACAACTTGTCAGCCATGGATGGGGGACCAGGGGAAGGGAGATGGCTCTGAGCAACACCAGCCATATTATTTCACATGTGCTGCTTTAGCAGGCATGCGAGGTCACTTTAGGGATTATATCAAGTTGCTGTGTGTGTGTGTGTATTTGTCTTTATGTGTGTGTGCATGTGTACAGGCATGTGTGTGCTGTGTGTATGTACGGTCTGAATAGTATGTTTGTACGTATGTGCAGATATATATTGTGCTTGTGTGTGCATATGTGTGTATGTGTATGTGTGTATCTCTGTGTACGTGCGTCAGTGTGTGCATGGGTGTGTGTGCACATGTATGTGCATGTGTGTGTGTTTAAGTGTGCAAAGACATGAAGAGAGAAGGTCATAAGTGAGCTGTAGAGAGCAGTTCAGCCAGGAAAGTCCCTGAGATGAGTGGATATTTAGAAACTGGCTCTGCCAAACTAAGCAGAAAGTGGGAACCGATTGTCCCATGTATGCAGGTCCCTCAGGCTCCCCTCAGGACACAGCTGAGCTTGCTCCTCTGAGAGGCAGGGCAAGGGAAGACGCAAACACAGACACATTTCCCTGCAAGGGTTCTGCTCAGGAACAGGCAGGCTCCTACCCAGGGGCCGAGCTGGGGGTTAATTCCTCAGAACCAGGGCCCACATTGATCCAGTAGAGTATTAGAACCTTTCCCAAGGCCAGGGGGTCATGGTTCAGTGCATGTGGTGGAGGAGCGCCGTGTGACAGGGTGACCTCCAGACTCTGCACATGGAGACGTGACTTTGAGAAGGAGGGGATGACATGAGCATGAACCACTCAGTGTCAAAGCAGCCTGGTGCTTCTGTTTTGCAGGAATTCGCCGACTCTGTGTCCCAGATGGTCACGCAAAAGTTTCGTGAGCTGACCGTGGGCCTGACATCCGTGCACGCCCGCCACAGAGCACTGGCAGGGATTGTCATGACCAAAGGTAACGCCTCATGATTTTGCTATGAGATTTTCATCTCAAGGAGAGGAAATTAGCACTTTCCTGGTCTTAGGAAACAAAGGATTCTCCCTTCCATCTGAAGACGTGAAAAGGAAAACAAAACTAGACAGAGGGATCAGTGACAAAGTGTGTGACCAGCAAACCTTTAGTGCCAGTGGTTGTGTAACTATACCTCCTTATAGCCATCTCTGCACAGGCTTCTCTCAATTTCCGTAAAAAGTAAACTAAGAACTGGCCGGTCCCTTTGCTATTGGGCATTTCCCCACATCTCGTTGGCAGGAAGACTGTGCGGTGCTGGAGGAACCAGTAAAAGCTGAAATGCAAGACCAGGCCAGGCCACCCGATAGGTCACTGCAGGCTGGTGGGTGAGGCTTCCATTTCTTCCCACTCTGCCTTTCCCTCCCCCAGTGCATTTTCTCTGTGCTCAGCCCGGTCCAGAGAAGCCACTTCACCTGAGAATTATGAGCCCCTCCCTCTGGGGTGCAGACCGTCCGGGAACCCTATCACAGAAGAATTAAATGCATCCCTTCCTGCCAGGACACCCTCCACTCACAATGCTCACAGATGGATGTCCATCCTCAGGCACAAATGACAGAACCAAATCACGGTCATGGCTGCTTTTATAACCCCAGGTGGGAGAAAATGGTGGTTGAATTTAAGCAGTCAGTACTAGTGAGAACATTACGGACCTATTCATGATAACTAACCAGCTAGTTATTTGAATTCAAATGTTTTTGTTCCCAAAGTTTGGCGTAAATTGGTAACAATATGCTACAGAATGGTTATTGTAAAAAGAATTAGCTGAGTTGAGTTTCACACATACACACTGCATGTGTAGGAAAAATCTAAGACCAAGAAGGACCATCTACCTGATGTCCAAATATATTTGTATTAAAATCTATTTAAAACCAGGCTATTGGTACATTTCCATTGTTCTCGCCCCAGTGCCATCCCCGTGCAAGGACACAGGAGCAGGCACATTGAACTCAGGACACTGTCTTCATTTCAGCCAGAGGATGTCACTTATCCTTTCTGTTTGGGACATCTTTTATTTATTTTTTATTTAAATTCTTTGTTGTTGAAAGTATTACATATGTCTCCTTTTTCTCCATTGACCTGTCTCCACCCACTCCCACCCCCCAACACATGCCCTCACACCCCTACTGTCTGTGTCCATTGGTTATGCTTATATGCATGCATACAAGTCCTTTGGCTGACCTCTTACCCCCACACCCATCCTCCCTTGCCTTCCCTCTGAGGTTTGATGGTCTGTTTGATGCTTCTCTGTCTCTCTATTTTTGTTCATCAGTTTATGTTGTTCATTATACTTCACAAACGAGTGAGACCATGTGATATTTATCTTTCTCCAACTGGCTTATTTCACTTACCATAATGCTCTCCAGGTCCATCCAAGCTGTTGCAAATGATAAGAGTTCCTTCTTTTTTACAGTAGCGTAGTATTCCATTGTGTAGATGTACCACCATTTTTTAATCAACTCATATGCTGATGGGCACTTAGGCTGTTTCCAAATCTTAGCAATTGTAAATTGTGCTGCTATGAACATAAGAGTGCATATATTCTTTCTAATTGGTGTTTCTGATTTCTTGGGATATATTCCTAGAAGTGGGATTACTGGGGCAAATGGGAGTTCCATTTTTAATTTTTTGAGGAAACGCCATACTGTTCTCCACAGTGGCTGCACCAGTCTGCATTCGCACCAGCAATGCACGAGGGTTCCTTTTTCTCTGCATCCTCACCAGCATTTGTCGTTTGTTGATTTGTTGATGATAGCCATTCTGACAAGTGTGAGATGGTACCTCATTGTTGTTTTGATTTGCATCTCTTGGATGACTAGTGACTTTGAACATGTTTTCATGTCTCTTAACCTTCTGTATGTCCACTTTCAAAAAGTATCTATTTAGGTCCTTTGCCTATTTTTTGATTGAATTGTTATTTCTTCCTTTTGTTAAGTTGTACAAGGTCCCTGTAAATTTTGGAGATTAAACCCTTATCAGATGTAACACTGGCAAATATGTTCTCACATGCAGTGGGCTCTCTTGTTGTTTTGTTGATGGTTTCTTTTGTGATGCAAATGCTTTTTATTTTGATGTAGTCCCATTTGTTTATTGTTTCCTTAGTTTCCATTGTCCTAGGAGATGTGTCAGTAAAGACATTGTTACAAGATACGTCTGATATTTTGCTGCCTATGGATTCTTCTAAGATTTTTATGGCTTTCCAAAGTCTTATGTTTAAATCTTTTATCCATTTTGAGTTTATATGAAATAAGAAAAGACCCCGAATAGCCACAGCAATCCTGAGAAAGAAGAACAAAGTTAGAGGGATCACAATACCAGATATCAAGGTATATTACAAAGCCACGGTTCTCAAGACTGCCTGGTACTGGAACAAGAGCAAACATATAGATCAAAGGAACAGAACAGGGAACCCAGAAATTAACCCAAGCCATTATGCTCAATTAATATTTGACAAAGGAGGCAAGAGCATACAATGGAATCAAGACAATCTCTTCAATAAATGGTGTTGGGAAAATTGGACAGATACATGCAAAAAAATTAAACTAGACCACCAACTTACACCATACACAAAAATAAACTCAAAATGTGTTTGGCATCTTTTAAAAGAGAAATAAAAAACGCCTCTTCCAGGGCAATTTGGTGAATGGGATAAAGTATATTAAATGCTTGAAAGGTAAAATCACCTTATCGGGATCATGTTCTAAGTCAAAGGTGATTCTGTTTCATTGAGAACACCTTTATATTTGGTGGCACACATCTTCTGAGCTGCAACACTCGCCCTCCTTCCACACATTTGAGGACATCTGCACATGACATAGTCCCCTCTGTCAGGACCACACTGTGGATCTGGCCCTCCTGTCCAGACCAGCAGACATTAATCAAATGCATCTACATAGTGGACACCATTCTGCATGCATCAGGGGTGCAAGAAAAGGCACAGCCCCACCTCAAGACATAGGAAACAATGAGAGGTGGTATAGGCAAAAAAGCAACTGCCTAGGTTTCAATCCCAGCTCCACGGCAACTAGTGATGTGACCTCAGGTCAGTCAGTCTCTCGGACAAGGAAGCACAATAGCACTTACTAGGAAAGTCATTTCAAAGTCAAATGTGTTCATGTATCCAAGCACTTAGAAAGATTCCAGCCAGTAATATGTACCACACAAGTGCTATTAATAGTAGTCATACTCTTTTATTTGTAAACTAGAGACCCGGTGCACGCAATTCATGCAAGAAGGGGGGGCGTTCCCTCAGCCCAGCTTACACCCTCTCCAATTGGGGACCCCTTGGGGATGTCCAACTTCTGGTTTAAGCCTGATCCCTGGAAGTTGGACATCCCTCTCACAATCTGGGACTACTGGCTCCTAACTGCTCACCTGCCTGACTGCCTGATCGCCCCTAACTGCCTCTGCCTGCCAGCCTGATCACCCCTAACTGCCCTCCCCTGCCAGCCTGGTTGCCCCCAACTGCTCTCCTCTGCTGGCCAATTTAGTTTTGATTGGTTGGTTTCTATGCCAGTCAGCATCAAAAGCTCCACCTCCTAGACAGCCATTGGTTCTTCATGGCACCCACATTTGGTTCTATTTGGTCAGTTCCTATGCCAGTCAGTATCTCCGGGCCTGATCAGAGAGGTGGGGCTGAACAGCAGCCCACGGAGGCTGTGAGAGAAAGAAAAGCCCAGCTGCTGGCAAAGCCTGAAAAGAAAGAGGGAGAAAAAGAGAGAGGCAAGTACTGATCAACAGCTGCCACTGAGGTTGCAGATCAGACCCTGCCTCTCTCTCTGGGTCTCAGCCCCCTGGGCAGTCAGTGCTGGGTCACCAGGCTGCAGTGGGGCAGTCAGTGCTGGGTCGCCACGGCAACCCAGAGCTGACTGAAGGACTTCCTGGTTGGTCAGCCTTCGGTTGTGATCAGTCATTACAACCCTGGGCTTTTATATATTAGGATTAATCACAGAGTGCTCACCAGCACCAGAGCCCATCCTAGGTTCTGGGAAAACCACAGAAAACAAAATACTAGTAAATGAACCACCTGCCTGTGCAGGTTTTGCATCCCAGTTGGGAAGGGGTCATAAAGAAAAGTTTAAATCCAATGTAAAAAGTGTGAAAGAGTTATATGCACAGAGTTGTAGGATCACAGAAACAAAATCTTGGCAAATTTTTAATTTTGGAGTGTCATGGATTTTTCTGCCACAGATTCCAGGATAACATATCTTAAATGAGCTTGGTCTGACCCATGAATGCAAAAAAGAAAGGGTGGAGGAAGGCAAGGAAAGATACCAAGCAATGTTTCCTCTTTATTGTGCAATATATTCCCAACCCCAAAAGCATACGTCAGTATGATTCGGTAAGTAGTTTTTAATATTTCTCATCTCTGGAGCTGTGATTGTTCAATATTTTTCCACTTTTTGAGGAAACTCAAAGACTTCCCTTGGAAAACAGTGATGTCTTACAAAGACTTGTGGGAAAATGGTACTTAAAAGTGCCAGTGAATGCACTGCTTTGTGTGCAGGCAATTTATCTATATGAACTAAATTTATTACATGAAAGTGAGATTTTACAAGGTAAGCGTCACTAATTAGTAATTTATGAATATTGAAGAATTGCTGAAATTTACTTTCCTATTATAAAGAGAAGATTTAATAAACATGTTGATTAAAAAGATATTAGAGGGAAATGGGCAAAATTACTAATAGAAACATTTATTTACTTAAAGTTGATTTTCCATTTAATCTTAACTCTAGTTCAGTTATTCAAGCAAATTCCTAAGACTCTCTGAGATGGAGCGATGTGTCTTAATATATCTATGTATATAAAGAGCCAGGGGCCATCACATCTGAAAAAACCAAAGGGACAACCGAACAGGCTGAGTGGGGTGACCAGGCCGGCAGGGGGGTTAGTGAGGGGCGACCAGGACAGCAGAGGTGGCAGTTGGGGGCAACCAGGCCAGC